GCTTTTTCTTCTACTATGCCAAGCAAAAAATATGCCGCCATCTTTATACTAAAGTTACGACAGAAATGCTTGATTTACGATAGGTACTGACCACTCATAATTTTTCTCTTAACTTTACGAGATATTTTCACTAAGATAGCTTTGTGGATCGCTTAAGATTTTTGTCATAAAGTTACGACGGGTTTTACGATGTTCGTAGCGCTACGAAGGCTTTGTGGATCGGGGCCCTGCACGCTAACGTCGAACCCATTCGACAGAGGTGTCCATCCCCGTGCATCTGATGTCGAACCCATTCGACAGGCGAATAGCATAACAACACCCCAAAATAAAACTCGCCATATCTATTTACCAAGAAGGCTTTGCGTAACATTTAAATTACGTATGACATGCATAAATGCTCAGCTTGCTCAATATCAAAACGTTCAGTCATTTATTTACCTCAAAAAGAAAATACCGCGAGTTAAAAATGTTTCGGCCAAACTTCTCGGCACACAACTACCAGAAACGGCCATTGTTGACTTTTGGCACTTCACGTTGAGCGGCATGCAGTCCGATATTTTCTTTATAATTTCATCATTTTTCCTATTCGATCATAATTTTTGGTTTGCTGACGAAAGGAAAACACTCATGTTCCTTTATTTCTAAAAATTCGCAACTTTCGGTGTAACTAATTGTAAACAAAAACAATCTGAATCGTAACATCATCGATTGGATGGAACTTGTACGATCATGGCAACGGCGGTAAACAAACAACTCCACATGCATAGTTATCCCGTTAAACTATTACAATCATTTTGTTACATCTAACTTAATTTTCTAGAATTATTGACACGTATGTATAAATCTTTGTAAAAAGAATTTCATTTTTAAAGAGTTTGCAAATGATTTTGTTTGATAAACTTTCCGACACATTGACAAGCCGACAAACGTCAGAGATACGTTTGGGCGTGGCCTAACTCGCGAATTGTTGAGTTTAACAAAGTCAACAAACGCTGCGAAAAATGACAAATATTGGATGATACGCAAAATCTGAACTGATATACATTCTAGGTAAACCATTCAATAGCAAAATATTGCATTTTACGAGAAATAATCAAAATACTTGCAATTTTAGCTATCATTTCTGAAACCGGAAGCACGTACCGCATGTGACACATGGAAGCAAAATATGCAAAAGTTGGTAAGCTATCATAAAGAAATTCCGAAATAGATTCAAATTCAAAAGAAAATACATAATTTACTATTTTTCGTCAACTATTTACTATTTATTGATCTGGAGAGCAGTCTTCACTCCTATTTGTTTCATATTTCTTCGTGATTGTCGCCATCAAATGTGTAAGTCTAAATCCGAAACCGTAATGGATTTCACGCTCGATGATTTTAATTTTAAAAATATTTTCTAAAACGAACGCAACGGAGAACGATACAACGTATTGATATGCCATAATAATAACATAATATTGTTATTGGTCTAACATTACAAAAAGAACAATTTAAATATTAAAGATGTTGTTGAAAACTTTCTGAGAACCTCCCGTCCTCTGAACCGATAAAATTTTGGTACACAACGAGGTAGGCTAGTGTAAATATATATAGATTCTAGGCTCCTATATATGTGATTTTGTACCCAAAACAAATTAAATTGTACCCAAAATACTTTGTGAATTTGTACCTTAGAAAATAAGACAATAGATCTATAATTATATTTATGTTTTCATGTAGATGAACAGAACACATGATAAAATATTTCATCAAGTTCCAAATATGATTATGACTGTGATCCTTGAAATTGATTGTTTAGTGTTGAGAGAAAATTGACGTCTTGTCACTGAAGGAGAGGCCAGTTAAGTTGGTTAAACCTAAGTTAGAATGAATTGTTTTGATAGGAAAGTGATATTATGATAAGTTTAAGACACCAAATTGAAATAATTCTAGGTAGATCTACAAAATCACATACCCATTTGGGTAACAAATTACTAGAAATTTTGGGTACAAAAGTCACCACTGTACATTTCAACTGATTTTCGTGAATCAATGGGATAAAAAATTTCGTCTGAATGATTCCTTTTCTCATTTTTTAAGACAAGAATTTGTTTTACATAACAAAACAGGCAGATCTACATGGATCACGTTTAGTCCTAAAATGTGAAAAATATGGACACCTCAGAAATGAGGGCTTATAAGTATTATTCTACCTAACTAGTCACATGGTTTGACTTTGATCTAGGTCTATCTAAGAAAAGTCCTTATGAAAATCTTTTTTTAATTTTTTTATGACACTGACATTTCTGGCACTTAGACAAAGAGTATTCAAGGAAAGACAGATATGTTTTTGAATGAAAATATGACTTCTCTTTATAATTCTTTTTTCATGATGACAGGGGAATTTTTATACACACCAGCTGAGAAGGTGGTGATACTGTGATTGCATACAAAGAAAAAACAGGTTGGAAGCAGTACCTTTATGTATGAAAAAGACCACATAAGGTGAACAAAAGTAATGGGTTGGCTGACTGGAAAAAATACATCTGGCAAGGGTAAACATGTACACAGGCATGTTTCTTTTCATTCCAACCAGAAGACTGAGATTGCATTGTCTAAGAAACCTATGGCAAACTTACCAGCTCATGTGCCACCATGGTTCTTGTGATTAAACAAACAAAAATGTCATGTACTGTTACAAGTACTGTTACTGTAATTAAATTAAATTAATTCCTATTAAATTATATTTCAGAATTGTTTTATTTGGAAACAAACCACATAATGCACAAGATTAATGTTCATATGAGTTTAGTACGTATATGTTAAGGATCTGATTTATTCATTATTCATGGAAAACTAAAATTAAAATGATGACATCAGAGAGTTACTTATTCACATAGTTGATTTTCAGAGTGCAAGATAATAATTGTTGAATAAATATGTTTAAACTAAAGATAATAATTGAAGTTTGATCAGTTACACTGTGCTGATGCAAAGACTAATATTTACTGTCCCCACACACCATCATTGTGGGAAAAATAACTATTAAATATAACTTAAAATTTTAAAACCTGTAAACAGCTGTAAATAATTAAACAATTACAAATCTATCATCAATACGCAATCATGGTGGTCTTCATATTTTTGGAAAAAAATTAGAAATCCTTCGTGTAACTGTTCTAGAATCATGCTAGAATGTATTCCCGAAAGGAAAACTATCCTAAATGTAATTTTGGAACTAACACCGAAAATATGTACGTAGCATTTTATTGCTTATATATACCCTATCATATTCAGCAACGTGGGTATGTTATTTTGAAACAAGTTTTGTCAAGCCCATTTTCGCGCACCTGTTGTTGAGGGTGATCTTGCTGATCGACGATATCCATAGTCGTATTACGTGGGATACACTTGTTGTAGTGAAACTTATCAGCGTGTACATCGCAGAAATATGAATTATGTCCCATTTATATTCACAACATTGAATGGTGATTCTTAAATATCAACAGAAGTTCAAATAAAAGATACCGAGAAACTTGCATGTGGCATGTTGATTTATCGTCTACCGTTTCCGGGTCACGGGAGCATGCAAGGTCAAACGGATTAACTAATACGTGAATTATATCGTCAAAGTCACATATTTATTTCATGTTAGTGGTGATTACTGATACTGTGTATCGACTTATATTTTTGCTCTATGTGATAGGCGAACTATTTCAAAATTTACTGTAATTGTTTTGTTTCGAAAGCTTATCAGCAGACTACCCCTGTCTGTGACATCACATCCGGTGACCTTTGCACTTACTGAAATAGTGCTGTCAGAATTCACGATCTTTATTTTCATTTTTCTCTCGTCATATTTATTGGAATATGACGAAGAAAACATTCTTCGATTGAGAAGATCGTCAACTTTCGCCAAGTTATATTTATAAAGGCAATGTAAACTTTGTTGATATTAAAATAGCAATAAGTTATGCGGAGGTCGGGCGAAGCGCGCCATGTTTGATTTTAGGACGTCTGCTAGCATCATGACATGGGTTGTTTATTTTTGTATATCGTAAATATTCAACCAAAACGCTTGAAATTAGGATTAGTGAATATTTATAAGTCATTAATTGTTTCCTGCAAATTTTATAACATGACACGTCAGATTAACCCGAATATTCGTATTTCTGCAACCGACATGATGACCTCGAAAATTAAGTTATTTTTCTGTTTAACGTTTAGATAATAAATTCACTGAAATGGTTCATAATTTACCATCGCGCTGATATATGCCGATTATAAAACCCGAATTTTTACTCAATTAAAATTAAGATATCGGAGATATGATTATTGAAATCAATTTGCACAAATGTTACGATATTAAAAGGTTCCTAGCATGAAATGCAAACCACCTTCAATAACGCAATTCAGGTAAGTTCAAGAAAATTTACAAATTTTGTGTTCGCTTTGGTCTTAACCTTGGTATGATTGAAAACATCAGGATATTTTTATATAGTATTGTGTAGTTTTCTATCAGGAATAAATGTGCAAAATATTTCTTCAATTGGCCCTTGTTTAATGACGCACCAACTGTTTGAAATCACCCACCCTCTTTAGAGCGCCTTATGCTAAAATTAATCCAGCAGGCAGGGGTAAGAAGTGTGAAAATAATTCAGCAGGCTAAAGGTTAATTGCTGACACTGTATACGATCAAAAATGTTTTGTCTCTTAGCCTGAACTTGGCTCTTAGTATTATTTTATGTAGATTTTATGGTTATATGGACTACTATAGCTGTGCTTGCTAGACTGTACAGACTGTTTCTAGACTCAGGCTTCGGACTAGTGGCTAGAGTCACAGACTGTATATGTGAAACTCACCACTGCCCCAGAAGTTTGGATATACAAGTTACGCATTAGGAAGTTTATGAATCTTGGGCTGTTTAGCAGGTCTTTCAATTAAGAATGAATTCAACTTTGTTTATGATCATGCAGTGTGTAGTATTGTATTTCTATGAATGTTTTGGCGGTTTCAGGATCCTTAGGGACCACACTGATTCTAGTGGCATGCACAGCCAGGCTCTGGATTCTCTGAAGGAAAAGCTCTCTGAAGTAGAGGCCAACCTCCGACGGGAGCAGGATGCCTTCAAGCATGCACAAGTGAGACATAATCTGACCCCCAACTCTTTAATGATTCTTTTTTATGTCCCAATGTATTTTCATGTTCATCTTTAAGCAGTTCAGAGAATGAAAATACATTGTGCCTGCTCATGTTTAAATGTGTGGTAATTGGGAGATAAACATACTGTGTTTTCAATTCAGATACCTGTAGATTTTACCGCGCTAAATTGAATGTGGAACTGAACAAGGTTAGATCTACAGGTAGCCTAGCTCTACATTGACAACACGGTATGTTTATCTCCCTTCTATCATGACTAAACAAAACACAAATCTTTGTTGTTAGCAAATATATTGAGCATGTTAAGTGAGGCAGCGTGTTTTGAGTAGATGATCGATCAGAATTTACGGAATCACCAACAACAGCCTTTAATCAAAATATGGTGCTCTGTATGCTCCAGCAGTTTGTTTACACCTTAAAACTTCACTCCAACTTATGACATGCACGGAAAGCTTGTAGCATGGCAACTTTGTAAGCTAACATGAGGTTGGCACCCTTAAGGAAAATTAAGCAAGCCTTGCAAATGTTTCATTCTAGTCTGCAAAGTCTCTATTATGACGTCGTATCACTCATTGTGATGCAAAAGATATGACGTCAGAGACGTATATAGAAAAGCGCCAAATAGTAAGCTCTCTGTTGTCCTCAAAACTTGAAATACATTCTCTTTGTAGGTTTCTATCGTGTTTTCTGCACGATATGTACAATATTTTACAGTGAATATTGTAGTAACTGCAACTTTGTATTTTGTTGCCTATAATTGTACATATAGTATACCGACTGTATATGACTAAAAGAAGTGCAATTCTCCAAGTAATAGCTTCCACGGTGATGCAGCAGTCAAATCGTCTGATTCACCAATCAGAATCAAGTATTTTTCAAATTCACGGTAGATTGTTTACAAGTAATGTTTTTTACTATTGGTAGAGATGGTAGTAATTGTGTCAGTATGAAGTGAAATAGGACAAGTAGACTTAGTGAAAGCTTGGCAAAGTTGTCTGTAGACATTTACACTGTGAGATGTAATGGAACTGTACAGACAATGAAATAAGTCCAGTCTGGCCTTGGTCATGTTGATGAACCAGAAGGCTTCAGATGTTACTGCTGTATCACACATCTAAAACAGATATGCACCAAACATTGAATAAGGCTTGTCAAAATAGTATGTTTTCCATTTACAAGACAATATGAGATATACTGTTATATGTTATTGTCTTTAATGCTAAAGTAGTGACCCATGCTTGCTGTAAAAGGCGATCAACGGGATCGGGTGGTCAGACTCGCTGACTTGGTTCATCGGTCCCGATTACATGGATTGTGCTCATGATGTCAATCACTGGATCGTCTGGTCCAGACTCTATTATTTACAGACTGCCATCTTATTGCTGGAATATTGCTGAGTGTGGCGTTAAACAACAAACAAACAAACAAACAACAAGCTCAAGTAGTGTTTCCAGTTTTGATATGGTTCCAATTAAAATGTACCAGATAGAATGTGAGACTTTAGAAATTACTAGCTCAAGGCAAATACTGGTCACAGGATAATGAGCGTGTACTTATATCAAACCCTTGTCCTGAAGCATTGCATTTGCCAGTGATGGTGTCGCCCATATGTGGTATGTCTGCAATGTTGTTAAAAGGCGATAACATGGTAAAAGCCTTGTCACTCACTGCTGGGCTCTGTCTCTCAGCAAGAAGCGTCTGGAAGGCAGAGTCGCCTGGAACAGGAACAGCGGACGATGGCGGAGGCTCTAACAGCTGCTGAGAGGAAACTTACAGAGGAAAGGGGTATGTAGTTTATACTGTCATGCTAGTTGCTATATGACTAGAATTCTGTCACATCAGTAAAACGTCCCACTTGTAAACATTCTGTGTAACATACTTTTTGGATTAAGTAAATGAATGTTTGAATAATGAATGGCACCAGTGATGGCAGCGTTAGAAATTGGCTCTAGTCCTATAGTCCTTGCCAATCTGCCCAATAGTTAAGGTATCATAAGGACTAGTAGAATTTTTTTCAAGGATTTTGCTATATGTTATCATTATAAGGACTACTGGACCCACTTGCACAAAGCGATCTTAGCGATAAGACTATTGTAAGCCTATGTTAAAGTATGGGAGTTACAATCATCTAAGTGCTAAGATTGCTCTGTGCAAGTGGGTCCTGGACTTAAACCGCTAGTCTCTATCGCTGTGAAGTGCTTGTGTAATTCCAGTGGAACTTCAAACAGTTCTATTGTTTAGAAAAGACTGTTTGACCCCTTTTTGGAAATAAGTATTTTAATTTAATTGAGAATTTATTCTTTGATGTTGCAAATACCCAGAAATCCAGGTGAGTTTCAGAGCATGGCTCTAATGTTCAAAAGTCAACAATGGTGCACAGGAATGTTTGTTATCTTCAAAGCCTTAGTTTTAGAATTCTGTTTTAACTGGTGCTTTCCTAGAAAAATCACTGGCCTTCCATCATGGGAAACATTTATGTAGAAGGTTCCTGTACTGGCGTTGTTGCTTGCAGGAAAAGTTACTGGTATCGCCAACCAGCTGAAGACAGCAAAGCTCAGTGTTGACTCAGCCAGGCTAGAACTCACTGACTACAAAGAGAAGGCTTCAAGAATTTTACAGGTATATTTTTTCAGAGATCTTTACGACTTGTCTCTTTCTAGATAATTTCCCATCTGACTGTATTTCATATTAAGTGCAGTCCTCACAATTTTATTCATTCTTATGGAATGCAAGAGCAGTGATACTTTTGTTTTGTATTGTGCTGAAATATGTTTTATAAGTATAATGTGGCTTAAAGTGATCACTTTCATCACTCTTTCAGAAGAACAGTTAAGAAATATAAGAGGCTGATACCTTGATAGTGTTTGTGAATGTTGCAGAGCAAGGAGAGGTTGATAGCGAGCCTGCGGGAAGGTTCTGGATTCACAGGCGACGCAGGGGGCGTGTCCAGTCTGGAGTATGAGTCTGTGAAACAGGAGAAGGACATGCTCAAGGATGAACTGCAGCAGACCAAGATGGTCTCAGAGAATCTCCGTGCTGAGATGTTGGTAAGTCTCTCAGTCAGTCATCCAGATACTGTCAGTGGTTACAGTATTGCCAAACTAGACACATCTCTCTAATGTTTGTACTAGTCTTAACCTCAGCAATCCTAAATCATGATTTGAACTTGTTTTTACTGGGTCCTCATTCACTGTGTCACAAGCTTCTAGGGATAGTGCCTGATGAGCCATGTAACATTTAACACCTTTGTACTGACTGCCTCTCTCCCCTCGCTGACTTTGCCTCTCTCTCCCCTTGCTGACTTGGCCCCTATTTCCTTCCCTGACTCCACCTCTTTCACCCCTCTGTCACTCGACCTCTCTCACCCCTCTCTGACTCCACCTCTGTCACCCCTCTGTCACTCCACCTCTCTAACCCCTCTCTGACTCCACCTCTCTCACCCCTTTGTCACTCGACCTCTCTAACCCCTCTCTGACTCCACCTCTCTCACCCCTCTGTCACTCGACCTCTCTAACCCCTCTCTGACTCCACCTCTCTAACCCCTCTCTGACTCCACCTCTCTCACCCCTCTGTCACTCGACCTCTCTAACCCCTCTCTGACTCCACCTCTCTCACCCCTCTGTCACTCGACCTCTCTAACCCCTCTCTGACTCCACCTCTCTCACCCCTCTGTCACTCGACCTCTCTAACCCCTCTCTGACTCCACCTCTCTCACCCCTCTGTCACTCGACCTCTTTAACCCTTCTCTGACTCCACCTCTCTCACCCCTCTGTCATTCAACCTCTCTAACCCCTCTCTGACTCCACCTCTCTCACCCTGTCACTCGACCTCTCTAACCCCTCTCTGACTCCACCTCTCATACCCCTCTGTCACTCGACCTCTCTAACCCTTCTCTGACTCCACCTCTCTCACCCCTCTGTCACTCGACCTCTCAAGACCTTCTCTGACTCCACCTCTCTCACCCCTCTGTCACTCGACCTCTCTAACCCTTCTCTGACTCCACCTCTCTCACCCCTCTGTCACTCAACCTCTCTCACCCCTCTCTGACTCCACCTCTCTCACCCCTCTGTCACTCGATCTCTCTAACCCTTCTCTGACTCCACCTCTTTCACCCCTCTGTCACTCGACCTCTCTAACCCCTCTCTGACTCACCTCTCTCACCCCTCTGTCACTCGACCTCTTTAACCCTTCTCTGACTCCACCTCTTTCACCCCTCTGTCACTCGACCTCTCTAACCCCTCTCTGACTCCACCTCTCTCACCCCTCTGTCACTCGACCTCTCTAACCCTTCTCTGACTCCACCTCTCTAACCCTTCTCTGACTCCACCTCTTTCACCCCTCTGTCACTCGACCTCTCTAACCCCTCTCTGACTCCACCTCTCTCACCCCTCTGTCACTCGACCTCTTTAACCCTTCTCTGACTCCACCTCTTTCACCCCTCTGTCACTCGACCTTTCTAACCCCTCTCTGACTCCACCTCTCTCACCCCTCTGTCACTCGACCTCTTTAACCCTTCTCTGACTCCACCTCTCTCACCCCTCTGTCACTCGACCTCTCTAACCCCTCTCTGACTCACCTCTCTCACCCCTCTGTCACTCGACCTCTCTAACCCCTCTCTGACTCACCTCTCTCACCCCTCTGTCACTCGACCTCTTTAACCCTTCTCTGACTCCACCTCTCTCACCCCTCTGTCACTCAACCTCTCTAACCCTTCTCTGACTCCACCTCTCTCACCCCTCTGTCACTCGACCTCTCAAGACCTTCTCTGACTCCACCTCTCTCACCCCTCTGTCACTCGACCTCTTTAACCCTTCTCTGACTCCACCTCTCTCACCCCTCTGTCACTCAACCTCTCTCACCCCTCTCTGACTCCACCTCTCTCACCCCTCTGTCACTCGATCTCTCTAACCCTTCTCTGACTCCACCTCTTTCACCCCTCTGTCACTCGACCTCTCTAACCCCTCTCTGACTCACCTCTCTCACCCCTCTGTCACTCGACCTCTTTAACCCTTCTCTGACTCCACCTCTCTCACCCCTCTGTCACTCGACCTCTCTAACCCCTCTCTGACTCACCTCTCTCACCCCTCTGTCACTCGACCTCTCTAACCCCTCTCTGACTCACCTCTCTCACCCCTCTGTCACTCGACCTCTTTAACCCTTCTCTGACTCCACCTCTCTCACCCCTCTGTCACTCGACCTCTCTAACCCTTCTCTGACTCCACCTCTCTCACCCCTCTGTCACTCAACCTCTCTCACCCCTCTCTGACTCCACCTCTCTCACCCCTCTGTCACTCGACCTCTCTAACCCCTCTCTGACTCCACCTCTCTCACCCCTCTGTCACTCGATCTCTCTAACCCTTCTCTGACTCCACCTCTTTCACCCCTCTGTCACTCGACCTCTCTAACCCTTCTCTGACTCCACCTCTCTCACCCCTCTGTCACTCGACCTCTCTAACCCCTCTCTGACTCCACCTCTCTCACCCCTCTGTCACTCGACCTCTCTAACCCTTCTCTGACTCCACCTCTCTAACCCTTCTCTGACTCCACCTCTTTCACCCCTCTGTCACTCGACCTCTCTAACCCCTCTCTGACTCCACCTCTCTCACCCCTCTGTCACTCGACCTCTTTAACCCTTCTCTGACTCCACCTCTCTCACCCCTCTGTCACTCGACCTCTCTAACCCCTCTCTGACTCCACCTCTCTCACCCCTCTGTCACTCGACCTCTCTAACCCTTCTCTGACTCCACCTCTCTAACCCTTCTCTGACTCCACCTCTTTCACCCCTCTGTCACTCGACCTCTCTAACCCCTCTCTGACTCCACCTCTCTCACCCCTCTGTCACTCGACCTCTTTAACCCTTCTCTGACTCCACCTCTTTCACCCCTCTGTCACTCGACCTCTCTAACCCCTCTCTGACTCCACCTCTCTCACCCCTCTGTCACTCGACCTCTTTAACCCTTCTCTGACTCCACCTCTCTCACCCCTCTGTCACTCGACCTCTCTAACCCCTCTCTGACTCACCTCTCTCACCCCTCTGTCACTCGACCTCTCTAACCCCTCTCTGACTCACCTCTCTCACCCCTCTGTCACTCGACCTCTTTAACCCTTCTCTGACTCCACCTCTCTCACCCCTCTGTCACTCGACCTCTCTAACCCTTCTCTGACTCCACCTCTCTCACCCCTCTGTCACTCAACCTCTCTCACCCCTCTCTGACTCCACCTCTCTCACCCCTCTGTCACTCGACCTCTCTAACCCCTCTCTGACTCCACCTCTCTCACCCCTCTGTCACTCGATCTCTCTAACCCTTCTCTGACTCCACCTCTTTCACCCCTCTGTCACTCGATCTCTCTAACCCTTCTCTGACTCCACCTCTTTCACCCCTCTGTCACTCGACCTCTCTAACCCCTCTCTGACTCACCTCTCTCACCCCTCTGTCACTCGACCTCTTTAACCCTTCTCTGACTCCACCTCTTTCACCCCTCTGTCACTCGACCTCTCTAACCCCTCTCTGACTCCACCTCTCTCACCCCTCTGTCACTCGATCTCTCTAACCCTTCTCTGACTCCACCTCTTTCACCCCTCTGTCACTCGACCTCTCTAACCCCTCTCTGACTCACCTCTCTCACCCCTCTGTCACTCGACCTCTTTAACCCTTCTCTGACTCCACCTCTTTCACCCCTCTGTCACTCGACCTCTCTAACCCCTCTCTGACTCCACCTCTCTCACCCCTCTGTCACTCGACCTCTCTAACCCTTCTCTGACTCCACCTCTCTAACCCTTCTCTGACTCCACCTCTTTCACCCCTCTGTCACTCGACCTCTCTAACCCCTCTCTGACTCCACCTCTCTCACCCCTCTGTCACTCGACCTCTTTAACCCTTCTCTGACTCCACCTCTTTCACCCCTCTGTCACTCGACCTCTCTAACCCCTCTCTGACTCCACCTCTCTCACCCCTCTGTCACTCGACCTCTTTAACCCTTCTCTGACTCCACCTCTCTCACCCCTCTGTCACTCGACCTCTCTAACCCCTCTCTGACTCACCTCTCTCACCCCTCTGTCACTCGACCTCTCTAACCCCTCTCTGACTCACCTCTCTCACCCCTCTGTCACTCGACCTCTTTAACCCTTCTCTGACTCCACCTCTCTCACCCCTCTGTCACTCAACCTCTCTAACCCTTCTCTGACTCCACCTCTCTCACCCCTCTGTCACTCGACCTCTCAAGACCTTCTCTGACTCCACCTCTCTCACCCCTCTGTCACTCGACCTCTTTAACCCTTCTCTGACTCCACCTCTCTCACCCCTCTGTCACTCAACCTCTCTCACCCCTCTCTGACTCCACCTCTCTCACCCCTCTGTCACTCGATCTCTCTAACCCTTCTCTGACTCCACCTCTTTCACCCCTCTGTCACTCGACCTCTCTAACCCCTCTCTGACTCACCTCTCTCACCCCTCTGTCACTCGACCTCTTTAACCCTTCTCTGACTCCACCTCTCTCACCCCTCTGTCACTCGACCTCTCTAACCCCTCTCTGACTCACCTCTCTCACCCCTCTGTCACTCGACCTCTCTAACCCCTCTCTGACTCACCTCTCTCACCCCTCTGTCACTCGACCTCTTTAACCCTTCTCTGACTCCACCTCTCTCACCCCTCTGTCACTCGACCTCTCTAACCCTTCTCTGACTCCACCTCTCTCACCCCTCTGTCACTCAACCTCTCTCACCCCTCTCTGACTCCACCTCTCTCACCCCTCTGTCACTCGACCTCTCTAACCCCTCTCTGACTCCACCTCTCTCACCCCTCTGTCACTCGATCTCTCTAACCCTTCTCTGACTCCACCTCTTTCACCCCTCTGTCACCCGACCTCTCTAACCCCTCTCTGACTCACCTCTCTCACCCCTCTGTCACTCGACCTCTTTAACCCTTCTCTGACTCCACCTCTTTCACCCCTCTGTCACTCGACCTCTCTAACCCCTCTCTGACTCCACCTCTCTCACCCCTCTGTCACTCGACCTCTCTAACCCTTCTCTGACTCCACCTCTCTAACCCTTCTCTGACTCCACCTCTTTCACCCCTCTGTCACTCGACCTCTCTAACCCCTCTCTGACTCCACCTCTCTCACCCCTCTGTCACTCGACCTCTTTAACCCTTCTCTGACTCCACCTCTCTCACCCCTCTGTCACTCGACCTCTCTAACCCCTCTCTGACTCCACCTCTCTCACCCCTCTGTCACTCGACCTCTCTAACCCTTCTCTGACTCCACCTCTCTAACCCTTCTCTGACTCCACCTCTTTCACCCCTCTGTCACTCGACCTCTCTAACCCCTCTCTGACTCCACCTCTCTCACCCCTCTGTCACTCGACCTCTTTAACCCTTCTCTGACTCCACCTCTTTCACCCCTCTGTCACTCGACCTCTCTAACCCCTCTCTGACTCCACCTCTCTCACCCCTCTGTCACTCGACCTCTTTAACCCTTCTCTGACTCCACCTCTCTCACCCCTCTGTCACTCGACCTCTCTAACCCCTCTCTGACTCACCTCTCTCACCCCTCTGTCACTCGACCTCTCTAACCCCTCTCTGACTCACCTCTCTCACCCCTCTGTCACTCGACCTCTTTAACCCTTCTCTGACTCCACCTCTCTCACCCCTCTGTCACTCGACCTCTCTAACCCTTCTCTGACTCCACCTCTCTCACCCCTCTGTCACTCAACCTCTCTCACCCCTCTCTGACTCCACCTCTCTCACCCCTCTGTCACTCGACCTCTCTAACCCCTCTCTGACTCCACCTCTCTCACCCCTCTGTCACTCGATCTCTCTAACCCTTCTCTGACTCCACCTCTTTCACCCCTCTGTCACCCGACCTCTCTAACCCCTCTCTGACTCACCTCTCTCACCCCTCTGTCACTCGACCTCTCTAACCCTTCTCTGACTCCACCTCTTTCACCCCTCTGTCACTCGACCTCTCTAACCCCTCTCTGACTCCACCTCTCTCACCCCTCTGTCACTCGACCTCTCTAACCCTTCTCTGACTCCACCTCTCTAACCCTTCTCTGACTCCACCTCTTTCACCCCTCTGTCACTCGACCTCTCTAACCCCTCTCTGACTCCACCTCTCTCACCCCTCTGTCACTCGACCTCTTTAACCCTTCTCTGACTCCACCTCTCTCACCCCTCTGTCACTCGACCTCTCTAACCCCTCTCTGACTCCACCTCTCACCCTCTGTCACTCGACCTCTCTAACCCCTCTCTGACTCCACCTCTCTCACCCTCTGTCACTCGATCTCTCTAACCCCTCTCTGACTTTACTTCTCTCACCCTCTGTCACTCGACCTCTCTAACCCTTCTCTGACTCCACCTCTCTCACCCCTCTGTCACTCGACCTCTCTAACCCTTCTCTGACTCCACCTCTCTCAACCTCTGTCACTCGACCTCTCTAACCCTTCTCTGACTCCACCTCTCTCACCCTCTGTCACTCGACCTCTCTAACCCTTCTCTGACTCCACCTCTCTCACCCTCTGTCACTCGACCTCTCTAACCCTTCTCTGACTCCACCTCTCTCACCCCTCTGTCACTCGACCTCTCTAACCCCTCTCTGACTCCACCTCTATCTCCCTCTCTCACCCTTTTCTGATTGCCTCTATCTCCCCACTCTGACTCCACTGTTCTCCCTTTTGACAAAGCATCTTTCTCTCTCTCTCTCTCTTCTCTCTCTCTCTCTCTTCTCTCTCTCACCCCGCCTCTCTCGCCCTCTTGAACCCCTCTCTGACTCCACCTCTGTCTCCCCTCTCTGAACCCACCTCTCTCACCCCACCTCTCTCAGCCCTCTCTGACTCCGCCTCTGTCTCACCTCTCTCAACCCACCTCTCTCACCCCACCTCTCTCAGCCCTCTCTGACTCCTGCTCTCTGACTCTGACCCTGTCTCCTCTCTTGACGCCACCTCTCTGACTCCACCTCTGTCCCCTCTCTCTGATTCCGCCTATGTCTCCCCTCTCTGACTCCGTCTCTGTCTAATCTCTTGACGCCACCTCTCTGACTCTGCCTCTGTCCCCTCTCTCTGATTCCGCCTATGTCTCCCCTCTCTGACTCCGTCTCTGTCTGATCTCTTGACGCCACCTCTCTGACTCTGCCTCTGTCCCCTCTCTCTGATTCCGCCTATGTCTCCCCTCTCTGACTCCATCTCTGTCTGATCTCTTGACGCCACCTCTCTGACTCCGCCTCTGTCCCCTCTCTCTCCCCACCTCTCTCACCCCACATCTCTCACCCCACCTTTCTCAGCCCTCTCTGACTCCGCCTCTGTCTCCCCGATCTGACTCTGCCTCTATCTCCCTCTCAGGATCTGGAGGGCCAGCTACAGCAGGACAGTGACTCGGCTGGTGAGCAGATCAAGTCTCTGGAGGAGCAGATCCTGGAGGAGAAGACCAGGAAGGAGGACACAGAGCAGGAGCTGCTCAAGCAGAAACAGGTACCACAGTGCCCATATTGTCATAAATATACCATAGTCTGGCACTGTCATTCAACAATGTACTTTTCCACAATTGCATGAATGGTAGTAATGTGTAGGAAAAATGTTGATTTATTGTAAATAGGAGAGTGGAAGGAAATAACGTACAAATAGAAAGCAATTAAACAGTTGAAAATAAAATAGTTTGAGTTCTTCATTGATAAATCTAAGTCACATTTCGCATTTTGTTGAAGTAATAAGGTATTTGTGTTTAGTGTAGTCATCCAATTTCGTTAACATATTATTTTCTTTTATTTGCAGGAACTTCAATATGCAATAGATGAGATCAACAAACAGAAGACGTCTTTCCAAAGTCGAGTCAGTGACAGAGAAAGAGAAATTGAGAAGCTGAGAAATCAGGTACAGATCCAGGGCTTTAAGAACATGAAGAAGTTATCTTTGTTGTTATTTTTACCTTACCTGAGGCTACACAGTCCTATGGATGTAGCGTCAGGTAAGTATAAAAACATTGCATGATAATCAGAAATGCTCATTTTTATAGTGATTTGTTAAACCATTAGCAGACATACCATTAACGTGTCCACATCTTGATGATGTGATAGTTGTCACTTCACCGTGAAGAGATTGTTCAAGTGAACCTCAGGCCATCTTGCATGTGTGTTACCATGGTTACATCCTCTTTTGTATACCATTATTAACCTAGATATGAGGTATGAGATTTTCAGAATGTCACTATTGATGAATATCCAATATTTATATCTCTCTGATAACTGATGATTGAGAATGCCTCTTCTTGATCTAGGTACTGTGGAGGTCGATCTATGATGCATTGTATCATGACATTGAATTATCAGGAAGTTGCATACTTCAATCATTAATTCAAATTTAAGAATCATGGACCTTCAGAAAATTCCTCACTTAGTGCCTATAAATTTTAAGTTGCCATAAGTAACATTGAATATGACAGTTCCCTGATAATCAACCCATCACTATGTGACCCAAACATATCTCTCCAGCTGATGACGAAGAGTATAAGCAGCTCATCTGAGAGCGAGTTGGAATCACGAGTGCGAGCCCTGACTGACAGTCTCATACAGAAACAGACGATGTTGGAGGCTCTCAGTACTGAGAAGAACTCCTTGGTCCTCCAGCTGGAAAGGATGGAGGTTGGTAGTTATGTCCCTTGATGGATTAACGTCCACACTGGTTTTCATGTCATCACCATGGAGTGAAAAACTTAAGACATAATGCAGGTTGGGCAGTGGGGTAGCATAGTGGTAAGAGCCTTTGCTCTTCACGCCGAAGACCTTTGTCCCCCATCATGATATTGCTAGAATATTGCTAAAAGCGGCTTCAAACGTTACTCATGCACATAATGCCAATGTTGTGAGGTTAAAACTAAGGTATAGACATAAGGACCAATTTGATTACTTGTCTCACAGATCAATGTTCCCCAAAATGTCTGAAGACAGGACAAAAATCTGCATTCTGCCCATTGCCATATTTTCTTGTGTAACAGACCTGTGAAGAATAGTAGAATAGGTCTTCAGCAACCCATGCTTGCTGTAAAAGGCGATTATGCTTGTCGTAAGAGGTGACTAATATGATTGGGTAGTCAGGCTCGCTGACTTGGTTGATGCATGTCATTGATCCCAATTGCATGGATTGAAGCTCATGATATTAATCACTGGGTTGCCTGGTCCAGACTCGATTATTTACAGACCGCCATCATTTAGCTGGAATATTGCTGAGTGTGGCGTTAAACAACAAACAAACAAACCAAATCTTGTGTAACAGACACAACCATGTTTATGTGGTTTTTTTTAATGTTGACCCTGTGGAGATTTGGGTAAGTATTGGTTGACTTGGTTGATGCTTGTCATCGTATCCCACTTGTGTAGATGGATGCTCATGTTGTCATGATGACATTACTAAGGGTACAATATGGCCTGTCTGTGGATGTTTTGTTTGCCCGATGCTCGCTATGTAGGGATGGTGGTTTATACTTTGCTATATTTTCAGCAACAATACCGGGACATACAGGAGTGTGTTCGGTCAACTCCAACCGTCGTCAATGTCAATGACGATGAGGAAGGTAAGATAGGTAACAATGAACTTCATTATCTGCATGTCGGTGGAGGACTTAGCACATTTCTGTGTGTTGTCCATCTTTGTTTGCATGCTTGGGATTGGACATGCTTTACACTGGAAACTTGTTTATTGTCAGATTGTCCGCCTCTCTCTCCCCTCTCTGACTGCCTGTCTCCCCTCTCTGACTGCCTGTCTCCCCTCTCTGACTGCCTGTCTCCCCTCTCTGACTCTGACTATCTCCCCTCTCTGACTCCACCTCTGTCTCCCCTCTCTGATTCTGACTATCTCCCCTCTCTGACTCCACCTCTGTCTCCCCTCTCTGACTCTGACTATCTCCCCTCTCTGACTCTGCCTGTCTCCCCTCTCTGACTGCCTCTGTCTCCCCTCTCTGATTCTGACTATCTCCCCTCTCTGACTCTGACTATCTCCCCTCTCTGACTCCACCTCTGTCTCCCCTCTCTGACTGCCTCTATCTCCCCTCTCTGACTCTGCCTGTCTCCCCTCTCTGACTGCCTCTGTCTCCCCTCTCTGATTCTGACTATCTCCCCTCTCTGACTCCACCTCTGTCTCCCCTCTCTGACTGCCTCTATCTCCCCTCTCTGACTCTGCCTGTCTCCCCTCTCTGACTGCCTCTGTCTCCCCTCTCTGATTCTGACTATCTCCCCTCTCTGACTCTGACTATCTCCCCTCTCTGACTCCACCTCTGTCTCCCCTCTCTGACTGCCTCTATCTCCCCTCTCTGACTGACTATCTCCCCTCTCTGACTCTGACTATCTACCCTCTCTGACTCCGCCTGTCTCCCCTCTCTGACTGCCTCTATCTCCCCTCTCTGATTCTGACTATCTCCCCTCCCTGACTCTGACTATCTCCCCTCTCTGACTCCACCTCTATCTCCCCTCTCTGACTCCGCCTGTCTCCCCTCTCTGACTCTGACTATCTCCCCTCCCTGACTCCAGCTCTATCTCCCCTCTCTGACTCTGACTATCTCCCCTCTCTGACTCTGACTATCTCCCCTCTCTGACTGCCTCTATCTCCCCTCTCTGATTCTGACTATCTCCCCTCTCTGACTCTGACTATCTCCCCTCTCTGACTCCACCTCTGTCTCCCCTCTCTGACTGCCTCTATCACCCCTCTCTGACTCTGACTATCTCCCCTCTCTGACTGCCTCTGTCTCCCCTCTCTGATTCTGACTATCTCCCCTCTCTGACTCTGACTATCTCCCCTCTCTGACTCTGACTATCTCCCCTCCCTGACTCCAGCTCTATCTCCCCTCTCTGACTCTGACTATCTCCCCTCTCTGTCTCCACCTCTATCTCCCCTCTCTGACTCCACCTCTGTCTCCCCTCTCTGATTCTGACTGTTCGATTCCCGACATGGGTACAATGTGTGAAGCCCATTTCTGGTGTCCCCCGCCGTGATATTGCTGGAATATTGCTAAAAGCGGCGTAAAACCTCACTCACTCACTCACTCTGATTCTGACTATCTCCCCTCTGACTGCCTCTGTCTCCCCTCTCTGATTCTGACTATCTCCCCTCTCTGACTCTGACTATCTCCCCTCTCTGACTCCACCTCTGTCTCCCCTCTCTGACTCCGCCTGTCTCCCCTCTCTGACTCTGACTGTCTCCCCTCTCTGATTCTGACTGTCTCCCCTCTCTGACTCCGCCTGTCTCCCCTCTCTGACTCTGACTATCTCCCCTCTCTGACTCTGACTATCTCCCCTCTCTGACTCCACCTCTATCTCCCCTCTCTGACTCCACCTCTGTCTCCCCTCTCTGACTGCCTCTATCTCCCCTCTCTGACTCTGACTATCTCCCCTCTCTGACTGCCTCTGTCTCCCCTCTCTGATTCTGACTATCTCCCCTCTCTGACTCTGACTATCTCCCCTCTCTGACTCTGACTATCTCCCCTCTCTGACTCCGCCTGTCTCCCCTCTCTGACTGCCTCTATCTCCCCTCTCTGATTCTGACTATCTCCCCTCTCTGACTCTGACTATCTCCCCTCTCTGACTCTGACTATATCCCCTCTCTGACTCTGACTATCTCCCCTCTCTGACTCTGACTATCTCCCCTCTCTGACTCCGCCTGTCTCCCCTCTCTGACTGCCTCTATCTCCCCTCTCTGATTCTGACTATCTCCCCTCTCTGACTCTGACTATCTCCCCTCTCTGACTCCACCTCTATCTCCCCTCTCTGACTCCGCCTGTCTCCCCTCTCTGACTCTGACTGTCTCCCCTCTCTGATTCTGACTGTCTCCCCTCTCTGACTCCGCCTGTCTCCCCTCTCTGACTCTGACTATCTCCCCTCTCTGACTCTGACTATCTCCCCTCTCTGACTCCACCTCTATCTCCCCTCTCTGACTCCACCTCTGTCTCCCCTCTCTGACTGCCTCTATCTCCCCTCTCTGACTCTGACTATCTCCCCTCTCTGACTGCCTCTGTCTCCCCTCTCTGATTCTGACTATCTCCCCTCTCTGACTCTGACTATCTCCCCTCTCTGACTCTGACTATCTCCCCTCTCTGATTCTGACTATATCCCCTCTCTGACTCTGACTATCTCCCCTCTCTGACTCCACCTCTATCTCCCCTCTCTGACTCCACCTCTGTCTCCCCTCTCTGACTGCCTCTATCTCCCCTCTCTGATTCTGACTATCTCCCCTCTCTGACTCTGACTATCTCCCCTCTCTGACTCCACCTCCATCTCCCCTCTCTGACTCTGACTATCTCCCCTCTCTGACTCTGACTATCTCCCCTCTCTGATTCTGACTATATCCCCTCTCTGACTCCGCCTGTCTCCCCTCTCTGACTCTGACTATCTCCCCTCTCTGACTGCCTCTATCTCCCCTCTCTGACTGCCTCTATCTCCCCTCTCTGACTCTGACTATCTCCCCTCTCTGACTCCACCTCTATCTCCCCTCTCTGACTCCGCCTGTCTCCCCTCTCTGACTCTGACTATCTCCCCTCTCTGATTCTGACTTTCTCCCCTCTCTGACTGCCTCTATCTCCCCTCTCTAATTCTGACTATCTCCCCTCTCTGACTGCCTCTATCTCCTCTCTCTCATGGAAGGGATGGGCCATGGTCTTCACTTGAATCTTTTGTGTATTGTCAGATTTCATCTGTATGCTTTTAATGGGACATGCTTTACACTGGAAACTTTTGTGTATTGTCAGATTTTATCTGCATGCTTTGGTTGGGACATGGTCTACACTTGAATCTTTTGTGTATTGTCAGATTTTATCTGCATGCTTGTAATTGTCTCTCTTTGCATGCTGAGAAAGAGACATTTTCATTACTGAAACATTTTTGCATTGTCAGACTTTATCTGCACACATGAAGGGAAGGGACATGCTCCACATTTAGTGTCCAGGGGGACATAATGAAATGTTCAAGTTTGTGTATTGTCTGTCTATATTTGCTTGCTGTTGAACAACCATTCTCACTACTGAAACATTTTTGCATTGTCAGTCTTTATTTATACTTTGGGGGAGGGATGTTGTCAGCACTGACACATTGTGTATTGTCTGGTGATATCTGCATTAATGTAACGTGACATGCTCTTCATTGAAATATTTCAGTTTCTTTGATGTATTGCATCACCACGTGGTTGTTTTCTTCAGTTCGCCAGCGCTTGCCGGGCTTCATGAGGGAGGGCCCAGCTGACCACGAGATGACCAAGAGGATGAAGAGGGCAGCTAATGTCATTGACAAGTTCAGGTCAGTACAATATCAGGAGATGGGATCCATGTGTTCCAGTGACGCTTTATTAAGGGAGTTCTTTATGTTCAGGCTAAAAAAAGTAATAGTCTTGGTTCTCAGCCACCCCCCACATCATTATAAAGTCTGCCACACGTTTCGTTTTTTTCTCTCGTACACACGACCCCGGCAGTGAAATGCTACAATATTTAAAAACAGTGCGATCCAATATGGAAAGGAATACAAGGAATACATATATGTTGGGAGGAGGCCCTTTCCTAGGTTGATTGTACACAACTGTTTATTTGGTTACATTCTAGTTTGAACAACCAAAATATTTTAAAAAGCACACCGCGTGCCTGCACTGTATTTTTGAAAACCATTGCCAGTGAACCAATTCTCTTTTTTTTTAGCCTAAGATGTTGTCAGTCCAAAAATTCCAGAAACACCTGAGTTGAATTTCCATGAGTTCTTTGTGTAGCCCATTCTTGGGGTGTCACAGTCACAGTCACAGTCACAGTCACTGTGCTCTGATTGCAACATTGTGTTGAGTCCCAGTTAACTCCATTCAACTCCATTTGTCTGACCACTTCAGTGGTCTATTGATTGAGCACGTTCCCTGATTGTCGGTGATTCGATCACCATCTGCATCTTACCAAAAGTCATTTAATGATGTTACTTCTTGTTGCTGTGCCTGGCACTTGGTTTTAAGGGATAATACAAGGACTGGTGGGCTTGGAGTCAGTATAATGGGTCTGATGCGGGTATCCATGTGAAACTGTGGCATGGTATCTCAGTGGTCTAGCACTATAAGACCAGCACACATGCATTTAGGCTCATCAGTTTATAGGTGCAATAATCTTGAATACAACATTAAACCCCAGACTAGCACAAGCACACCTGCATGTACTTCACTATAGAAGTGCAATAATCTTGAGCACGACATCAAACCCCATTTCACCTCATCAATAGGTAAATGGTATTAGTCCAGACTAGCACAAGAACACATTCATGAACATCGCTATATAAGTGCAAAGATCTTGAACGCGACATCAAACCCCATTTCACCTCATCAATAGGTAAATGGTATTAGTCCAGACTAGCACAAGCAAACATTCATGCACATTGCTATATAAGTGCAATAATCTTGAACACGACATCAAACCCCATTTTACCTCATCACCTCACATTTGCCTTGAAACGGTAGCATTAAGTAATATTGTTACCATCTCGGATAACATGGTTGCTATCTCTACACTAATGTTCCTTTTCTTTTCTTCAGTGTGCGCCTTGGCATCTTCTTGAGGAGGTATCCTATTGCCAGAGTGTTTGTTATTGTATATATGGTAAGGACAATTATCTTGAGGGGAGGTAACCCACTCTCACATGATCGGAGGTGCAAGGTAGCATGTCCAGGTCTCTAGAGTGATCGGTATCTCTTGGATACAATAATCATACAGTATATGAGAAAACCAGTCCTGCAATAAGCTGTCTCTATGTATAATTATGATGACACAGAACAAATAAAATCTGGAAAATAGATGAAGTGAAATGGTCACCTGACACTTCTTTACACATATATCACTGTGATAAGAGAAAGGAAATATGAGCAGTGTGCCACACAAAATTAATGATTGAGGCTTGATGAATTTTGCAAGAATTTTCTCTCATTAATAATATGATAAACATTTGCATGTTTAGCAGATGTTTAGTGTGCTGATGACATGTATTATGATAAAGAAAAGTAAGCATTACATAGAAGAAAGTGTAAATTTTGTCTTGTATCTTTGAGCATCATCTTTCAGGGATGATTGAACGTTGTTAAGCCTCAGCTGATCCTTTCTCTGCACACAGCAACTACAAGGGGATGTAGATTATAAGGACTAGTGGACTAAAACTGTTAGTTTCTATCGCTGCAATAGTATCCACAGAGAGGAATGTTGAGCTGGTTCATGGCAATACAACACCACCAATGCACAGCTCTGCACAGCTCTGTACAAATGCCAGCACCGTACTGGCGTTCTGTTTGGCTCATATGGAGCTTTGTAATAACCATGTGATCAGGCCTTGATTACATGAATAAAGGTTTCTCTGTGGCATTTATCAAAATCAAAATCACAGCGATAGAAACTAACAGTTTTAGTCCAATAGTCCTTATAATGATACCATATAGCAAAACCCTTAAAAATGGCAAATTTCTACTATGACTACAGGACTTGTGACAATTTCTAAGTCTGTATCGGTACTCATTGCTAGAGCTAGCAAAATATGGAGTGAGAGATGTTTTTGCTGAAATGGCTTGGTTAATGATTTTGGGACAACTAACTATGACAAAGTTACTGTTTTCATCACGGAAATGATATGACAGTTAAAGAAACTGACTGTGAGACTTTGTTTCAGGTTATACTGCACCTGTGGGTGATGATTGTTCTGTTGACCTATCAGCCTGAAATGCATGGAGCGGACTACCAGCCCAAACCCCCGGACGAAGTCCCCCACTGAGACACTGCTGACTTCTACCTGGCGATTATAGTGGTGCAGGGTAGACTGATCGTGATTATTGTGATATCCACAGGGAAGTTCACAGGCTTCAGGGGAATACTGTACTTAACAGAGGCATCCACTGACACTTTCAGGGAATATTAGTAAGATGATACACTTTCTGGGAATATTATTAAAATGATACTCTTCCGGGGAATATTATTAAGATGACACTTGCTGGGAATATAATTAAGATGATACACTTCCTGAGAGTATTATTATGATGATACACTTTCTGAGAATATTATTAAGATGATACACTTTCTGGGAATATTATTAAGATGACACACTTTCTGAGAGTATTATTAAGATGATACACTTTCTGAAAGTATTAATATGAGGATACACTTTCTGAGAATATTAAGTTGATACACTTCCTGGGAATATTATTAAGATGATACACTTCCTGAGAATATTATTAAGATGATACATTTTCTGGGAATATTATTAAGATGACACACTTTCTGAGAGTATTATTAAGATGATCCACTTTCTGAGAATATTATTAAGAAAGTGTATCATCTTAAAAACTTCCCACAAAATGTATCATCTTAATAATACTCTCAGAAAGTGGAAGATAATAATGGTACATAAAAATGTCCATTCTCTTGTTATAATATTTTTGTTTATATTCAAATACGAATTATTATTTCATACATATCATGAATATGAGATGTTTGAATTACTTTTTTTGAAAATAATACTTTAACACAAAAATATCCTGCCAAGGTTTCATATGGATTGCCAGTGTAAACCCCATTAAATCCTGAGTTAACTGACCACCGATACATACTGATTCTCAGGCACAAAGTATCTGCTAATCCTAATCCGGCACATCATCTTGTACTACACAGGACTCAGTTATCCCCGTGGTCATATTATGTCCACTGTTCATATAAGAACAGTGGCAAGGGAAGTAGTCTTGTGGCTTCTTGCATTCAGCTTGTTGTAGATGTTTATGGATAATTATACTTGGGAGATATGACATTGTTGAGGGATACATATAGACATTCTATGTTCATATTGTTCAGTGTGTGAAAACACTCTGGATACATATTTTATCGTGTGCTGAAGGCTGAAGTTCACTTTGAAGCAAGCTCTCACTTGGTATTTCAGTCATCATGATGTTTCATGCAGGTAGTGTTCAAAAGTCTGTTGTTCCAACTTGGGGACGACCCATTACCCAGGAGTAGGTAAGGGATTTATCTTGAATTCCAAACTCAGTGCCCGTGGCAGGCAAACTGGGAAAATATTGTGATATTGTTAAGTATTGGATGTTTTTAATTTGGGAATTATTCATTGAAATTGGGAATTTTTACTGACATTCACAGGAGACGTGGGGCAGAGTTGGCCTCCGATCAGGTCTTGATAAATCACTGCATGTATTCCTCTGACACCCCTAGACCTGAGAGACGACTACTCTACATTTGATGTACAGTTCAAACTTATCATGTCACCATGGTAACTAATGCAGCGTGCCTGTTGTCTTAAGCCTACAGCCTCCCGGTACCCTGATGTGCTGAGTGATGGTATTGCTCAGTAACCATGGTAACTAATGCAGTGTGCCTGTTGTCTTAAGCCTACAGCCTCCCAGTACCCTGATGTGCTTAGTGGTGGTATTGCTCAGTAACCATGGTAACTAATGCAGTGTGCCTGTTGTCTTAAGCCTACAAAATCCCAGTACCCTGATGTGCTGAGTGAAGTTATTGCTCGGTAACCATGGTAACTAATGCAGCGTGACTGTTGTCTTAAGCCTCCCAGTACCCTGATGTGCTGAGTGATAGTATTGCTCGGTAACCATGACATTCAGCTTGTGCCAGATTGTAAAGACAAAGCCAGAAAAGTCATGACATGAAAAGATGACATTCTTAGATTATGGTGTAGTAACTGCCATATCATCATTAACCCTTAGACTGCTGTACTAGCGACAGATTCATTTCAAACTGTTATACTATACTTGTAATTCAGGCATTGTTTTGATAATGAGACTTGCTGTTCAATCATGGATTAACAAAACTTAAGTAACTTTATTTTTGTTTGGACTGTGATCTTCCTTGAAGTGACAATTGTCGAGACCTGCACTGTCGTATTCAGTTGTTCTGATTTACTATTGAAACACAAGCAGTCCAAGGGTTAAAGAGACATTATGTTTCTTTCTGCACCTTTCTTATGATGTTATGAAACTTGGTGTGTAAAATATTCATTGCAAAGTTACAGGCACAGTTCACATGAGGCAGACAGTGATGTTTCAACAAACTCGGCTAAAACACCTCTCTCCTCACCCTTTTCTAGTAACTTATTGAAGTTCTCTCCCCTTGGAACATGTGACACTGGATTTCAAGTATTGGGAGCTTATTGGGTTGTAAATGAATACTGATTGGTGGACCCACAGTTGTATCATGTACCATGTCAGTGATAAGATATCATGTGAATAATATGATATAATGTGAATAATGAGATACCAGGTGAATTATAATATATCACGTGAATTATAAGACATGTGAATTACGGGATACCATGTGAATTATTGGATACCATGTGAATTAAAAGATACCATGTGAATTACGGGATACCATGTGAATTATAAGATACCATGTGAATTATTGGATACCATGTGAATTAAAAGATACCATGTGAATTATGGGATACCATGTGAATTTTTGGATACCCTGTGAATAATTAGAGACATGTGAGTAATGCATAAGTGGGAATGTATTGTGTGGAGATCAAAAGATATTTTTTTGTTGTATAGTATTTGCCATGTCACTTGTAATTTGAATGTGTGTGGGTCAGTGAGTGTTTGTGCGTGTGTACATGTTGAAATGTCTGCTTCCAAGGGTCTTCACACTGGACGTGTCAGTGAGCAATCAAAGTTTGTCGACTGGTTTGTTCAATGCAACTAGAAGCCAATTAGTTACTATTCCCAGCTATTCACTATATTAGATCGAATGTGATTTGGTGCTCATCTGGGGTTGTACAGACTGATTAGCCCTTATTTCCACCGTATTCCGTTTGTAGAAAATATTCAATGTTTACAATATTTCTGAAATAGATTTTATCGTAGACATAGGTGAGGTGAGGTGAAATGGGGTTTAACGTCGCATCCAAGATTATTGCACTTATATAGTGACGTGCATGCACGTGTATGTATGTGTGTGGCTGCTTGTACTAGGCCGGACTGATGCCGATTTATAGTGCTAGCTCACTGAGATACCATGCTGCAGTTTAACATGAATACCCCACTCAGACACAGTATACTGACTCCGAGCCGACCAGTTCTTGTTTTAGCCCCTTAATGCTGAGCGCCAGACAGGGTAACAACTTTTAACGTCTTTTGGTATGATGCGGTCGGGGATCGAACTCCGGACCTTCCGCTCTACCATTAGACCACGGAGGCGGTCCGTAGACATAGGACAGTGATCACATAATTGAATTCTGATGAATATTCTGAGAACATACATGATGTATTTAGTATATTGTATGTTAAATTAGATTCCAGTTAAGATGCCCGTCTTCAGTTATTCTTCAATGTATTTAATTCTGTTTCTTGTAGTAGGATAGAGCATCTTAATCCTAAATCATGCTTGTGACATAACCAACTGCTGGATGTAGGTTCAATCAGTAATATTTTTCTGAATATTTATGTTTATTAAAACATCTATTAATACTAACACTGTCTGTGGAGGCACTGATGTACAGTACCAGAACCAGGTCCTGATACTTGATACAAAACACTAGGTAGCTCCCACTGTACCATAGGCAGTGTAAGCTGTCACTGTTGGGACGAGGATGTTCCTCTGATGCATGGTTATGGGCACCTCACCTATAAGAAGTCGCTATGTGGCTGAAATAATGCTGATGCGACATTCATTTTTAACTCACTATAATGAGTAGGGTGGCACTAGTGGCTTATAAAGAGGGATCTTTCACTTGGTTGCACAAATTGTAAACTAATTCAAATTGGCATGTTGGATGATAAATAGTATCTCACCCTTGTGTTTTAAACTTTTATTGACATATGTTGATATATTTGATATCACAAGACAAGAGGTGAGATTCACACAATGGCTCATTTCTTTAGAATAGTATACATGTATATCCTATTCACTTAATTTGTACAAGGTTGAGACTAAACAAGTCTGTCTTTCTCATTTACAAGACTTCCAGGAGTATAAGCATATCGTGTGTATTGTTTCATATGTCTTCTTTTTTAACCATTGGTAACATCTGTATCTGTATGCAACTCTTTCTTTTCTTAGTTTTTATACATATATCCAGGTAAGATCCAACTTAAGATACACATAAAGGCAATGCTAGGAGTGGACATATTTTATGATGATGATGATTATGATAATTATGATGAAGACATTACTGTATATTATTCCTGTTATTGGGTTTACACAAGTGGGAGGGATGTGCTGGAATCTTGTCACGCTGTAAATAGTTGGATATCTACCATGTGATCTGTGACCCTGGGGGCAACACTTGTAAATACCATTGCACTATTATGTACAGATGTCATGTATAAATTACATATTTATGTCTGCTTTGTAAATATGTACATCAGTGTACAACCTGAGCCAAGAGTCTTTTCATGTATAGGATATTGTATGATGTACTGCATGGTCCTGAATAAATGGGAGGAAACGAGGCTGTGTGTGTCTTTTACAGGGCGACTGGAAGGATGGTCTTCATAAATGTATTATTTATCCAAGTCTCACAAGTTGCTCAGTAATGTTGCTGTGTGTTGACTTGCCCTACAGTTCCCATACAGTACAATTACAAGGCAACTTGATCATTGCTCATATCAAACACTGGATTGTCTGGTCCAGACTTGATTATTTACAAGCCGTCGTTGCTGAGTGTGGCATTACTCAACAAACATAGGGATAGGTCACCACCCCATCCTCAATTCGGGGTACCCATGCTTGCCGTAAAAGGCGACTAACGGGATCGGGTGGTCAGGCTTGCTGACTTGGTTGATGCATGTCATCCTATCCCAATGGCTTTGATCGATGGTCATGATATCAATCACTGGATTGTCTGGTCCAGACTCGATTATTTACAGACCGCCATCATATAGCTGGAATATTGCTGAGTGCAGCGTAAAACAACAAACCAACCATCCTCAATAGTCATCTCTTACAAGCACGGGGGGACTTATGACCTTGGTGTGCTCATAAACTTTTGTTTCATATCATGTTCTTGTAAAGAAATTACAAATGTTGCAGTACCGTCTTCATCCTGTTTGACAGAACTGGAAACACGAGGCAAGATTTAAGTGTTTATTCTTTACGTTGAGGAATTAACTAGATGGAGAATTATCTGCAAGTCTACATCAATATCAAAATGCAAAATGATCGACTGGACATGATTAGGTAAACCATCCATTATAATATTTCACAATGTCAGGAATGGGAGAGTAAAGAACGGTATCTCAATAACAATTACAGACGAATCACAATGATCATCAAATATCACAAACGTAGTCAATTAAAACCTTCGTTTCCATGGGCACCACTCTCCACAGCATTCATACTGGAACAGTAGGCTGCAGCAATACAGGGAAACTGGGTACTATATCTGACTGAGGACACAATACCACAGTGATACATACTCATGATAATGACTGACATTAACAGCAAACATACCTTTTGGAATACCGAATAGTTGGTTGCCAGTCAAGACTGAACAATAGCTAGAACTAACAACAGGTAACATGGAAAGGAAATAACGGACAATGTGAAAATGAGCTGGAAACAGTTTAAGAATTTATTACCATCTCACCATGCACAAAACTTTGCATCATATCATGAGTCATGTATCAGTGCATCTTGGAGTCGTTCCACCTCAGGAAATATTGACACATTACCATTTAATCAACAGTTTCATGTAACAGTTGAATCCATGCAGAACAAGGAAAATGGCCAAAGACTATTATCAGCAAGATTTCAGTACTGTTTCTATACATATGACCCACTTGCAACCGAGCTAATCCGCCATCTGTACCTAGAGTAACAAGGGCTAACACAGTGATATAGCTCATACACAATGTCTCAAAGATCCAGTGTGTAGGAGAGTTGAGCCACTGCATGGTACAACAGAAACATTTCACAACATGTACATGCGATATGTAAAGAAACAATTTGGCCAACCCAAAATACCTTTCTAGTTTTACATATTTACATGGTCGATATGCCATGAGAGAGGAGAAAAACATGTTGTCTAGTTCATTGCATGTTTATACTTCCTAAAGTATGTTTCACAAAAATATGAACAAAAAGATCCTTAAAAACCCATTTTCACTCCTATATTATTTTTTCTAAAAATTTAGATGAGCCAGTACTGTACAACAAGAATATGATTTAGTACGGCCTTACCATGTAAAAACAAAAGCTGAGTCAAAGATTTCTACTTAACATGCCAATTAATCACTGTCACGTTTGTTTTGCCATATCAGCAGTGTTTCATTTTTTGTGCCGAGCAAGACAACAAATTCAAGAAAAGACGTGACTTGGCAATATAAAAAGTTTTGACTCACACTATGGCAAAGTGTGTACTTGTTTACTGTAGTCTACAATCTCAACGCTACTAATCTATCTACACACAAAACAGTCACCTGTGACAGGCAGCAATGAATGTCCTGATCAATAAATTATACAGCAATATGGAAATGTAGATTATATACAAAGTTTCACAGAATCATACAAATAAACACAATAACCTGATCAGCAATAACCATCTGACAAGACCCTCCTTGGAAATGTTTCTGTTCGTGACAACAAAGTCTCGTGTTGAGACAATCTTAGGTTTCATCCAAGAGGACAAAAATGTTCAAGACAAACAAGGGTGCACATGGGACCTCATAATTGAACAGATTTGATTAAATTAAAGTGAGAATGTAAGTTTAATGCTGTGAGCAAAATAGAAGCCATACTTACAGTACGAGCACCAAGGATTTGCGTCTCATATTGCAACTGGTAGGGAATCAAACTCACTATTCTGAGTTACACCCAACCATTAAAGTTAAAAGATGACAGGGCCACCGAAGAAACTTAGTAACATTTACAGAAAATCAAACTAATCCTGAAGACTATAAATCAGTAAATGTTGCAAACATGCTATCACATGGATCTTGCGTTGCAGCAGTTCATCCTGATATCATTAAGTAACACCCCCCTACATCCCAAACAGATGATCCCCCTGCACACCCTTATGTGAAGCTGTGTGCTAGACACTGGCTATAGGTCTACGATGACGCCTAACCTATGTAACAATAATAGTTCTCTATGCTGGGCTATATTGCATGATCAGGGTGCCACCACGGCCATGTTTCTTCACTCAGAGCAGATCAGGTTCTGCTGATATTGATTTCTTGACCCGGAGGAGCATGGTGGTCAGCCATTGGTCGAGGCGGGAAATACTGTCGAACTCCTGAAGAGACTGGGTAAATGCATCCACATTCTCCTCCTCGCACGCCTTCAACAGCGACTGAAAGCAGGAAAGTTACATTGGAACAGATGATTACCATATCTACATTAAGAACAGTCCAGTCCTGTATCCCTGACATAGCTCATAGTTATATTTTTAGTGAGTGAGTGCGTGAGAGAGAGTAAATTTGATTTTACGTTGCTTTAAGTAATATTCCAGCAATATCACGGCGGGGGACACCAGAAATGGGCTTCACACATTGTACCCATGTCGAGAATCGAACCTGGGTCTTCGGCGTGACGAGCGAACGCTTTAACAACTAGGCTATCCGACGGCCCCATATGTTTAGTAGATTTTAGTAGGGTTGGCTAAAAAGATCAATATCGGAGTTATTGTTGATGGGAAGAAATATTAACGATTATTGATATGAAAATTGTGTCATGGATAATATCTTATATGAATTATTGTGATGAATAAATTTTAGATTCACTAAAACAGCCATGTTATTGTCAATCATGTCAATTGCCGAAGAGGGAAAGCAACTGTTTCTGTTATCTTGAATGTCCACAAAGTCATCCATGCATAAATGTGTTACTGCTCACCACGAGTCACCAGTGGAGTGAAATATGTTGTTTTCTTTCAGATGTTTTTTGGGTATTCGCTCAAAGTTACTTCTCCGATATTTATTGATAATTGATCGATAATTAGTAAACGATTATCAATCTCTATGATCTGTATCAATAGCAAGTCCCAGATTTTAGTGTTGTTAGGGTCTGGGGCAGAGGTTTTTGATAGACTAATATACTAAAAATAATGACCCTCCTGAATTTCTTGTCCTATTTTTGGATGACCCTCCCGAAAAGACAAAATGCAAAAGCACTTTATATTTTATCATAAAATGCCAATCTTTTTCATGACCCTCTCCAAATACATGTATTTTTTTTTTATGACACTCCCCTAGAGAGTCATATTGTTGGTGACCCTCCCCTGATTCCCTCTGACCCATCCCCCTAAAATATATGACTAGTCCCTTATATGGCCTGTGATAAGCAGCTTTATTAGACCAGTAGACCGAACAGTAATTTACAAGAATCTGGCTTCTGACTAGTGCCGCAATCATAAATAGATATATATCATGATATATAGCTCCAATCCCTACAGGTCACCTATTTCTATTTCTTATTGTAATATCAATTGATTCTAAAAATAGTAACTGAAGGAAAACTAACCTGAACGTCATCAATTCTATTTCCCTAAATACAAACCTTTCTTTGATATCCAATGAAAGAAGTATTTCGGACACTAATTCCCATTCCGTAGTTAACTAGCTTTATAATTATGCGTGATATCGGAAACATCAAACTAGCAGTTAGGAAAAGAATTATTTTGTCTCACTGTCATTTGTACACAGTGAGTGAGTGAGTGAGTGAGTTTGGTTTTAGGCCGCTTTTAGTAATATTCCAGCAATACCACGGCAGGGGACATCAGAAATGGGCTTCACACATTGTACCCATGTCGGGAATCGAACCCGGGTCTTCGGCGTGACGAGCGAACGCTTTAACCACTAGGCTACCCGACCGCCCCCATTTGTACACCCCATACAGTCTGTAAACCCAAACTATTAAGCATGGCCAGCCAGAAACGAACATGAAAGCCATTCTCCTACCTTAACGAGTTTACACTCCCTCGATTCAGAAAAGGCTGGAAACATGTCCTCGTACTTCTGAATACATATCTGGGCATTGACCTGGTCCAGACACATGTGACACACCGCTGCACGGAAGAAGTGGTCTTTGGCACTGTACTTCAACAACGAGTTGTCCATTGCCGATATGCCAACCTGTAACCATGACAACACATTGGCGTCAGTACCACAGAGAGGTGCCACACTACCCTTTCCTGGAACCTGGATGTTATTGTTTCCTGAGATCTTGGTACAGATATTGTCATATGCTTTTAACAAAATTAAGTTGCAATGATCAATTAATTGCATCTACAAGGAAGTGATATAGAATGACCTTAGTCAGCAATATTACAGCTGGGAAGACGGAGCGTGAATCTTACAACCTACCTGTTCATAAATCTCCACAGCTTTTTCATAATTTTCTAATTGAGCTGAAAACTGTGCAACCTTCAATAGGCATTTATTGGCGGAACTGAAAGACAAACAGACACTTTGATAATAACGGGGAAACAGGTTAAACTGTTCTTTATTTTGATACTTTCTTACTCCTGTTACATTAGATTAAAAACTTGCTTAAGAAAAATATACATTTCTGTTATAAACTGCATATCATGCATATAGCAGAAGAAAAATTACATGTTCCAAAATATTGTTGCTGTGTCGTTATTAATACACATGGATAATTAAGGTTTTGATGACAAATGACAACAGCATTCTATTTGAGGTGGCCATGTTACCTGTTAGACTCTTCTCCCTTGTAGTAGTCAGCAGCCTGCTCATAGTTGGCGATGGCCTGCCACAGAAACACAACGCTCAGAGTCACAACCTCAGCTGATGAAGCAGTTCAAGTCATCATCAATACTTTATGGGTTTGTATATGTTACAATCCATGTGTAAAACGACTGAAATTTTCACTTAGGCAATTTACAAAACGCTAAATTATTTCAGTCATTTTACAATTATTTTTCCGTCAGATTGTTTAAAAGTCATAAATAAGTTCAAAAGGCCTAAAACATCATAACAGACTTATTATCATCATTATGATAGGATTAATTTATTTTAAAAAAAATATACATTGACTTTCTTTTTCTGTTAAGCCTATCACTCCCATCAATGGGTGATGAAATAGAGCATAAAATGTTTGGAATTTGTTATCATAATATAGTGAATAAAAAAAATTATGACTGAAATATTGTGAGTTTCGTAAAAAACCAAAGTGAAAATTTCACTGTAACATTTGCACTAGGTTCTATGGTCGGTATGAAGTGTAATCTGTACTGTTAACCAACTAATCAAGCCACGATGATCATTTGGTTGCAGCTCAGACCAGTGAGCGCTCATCTTACATAACTCACACAGCACTGTTCTCAGGATGTACTCAACAAGTGCTACGGCTGCCCTGTGGCCGCCCTTAAACACATTGCTTTAATGTCAAGATAGGGTTCGCACAAAGGTCACAACTGAAGTTAACATCGTCATTTCCTTAGCTGATTATAAATAGACATGTGTCACTGCCACACCGCATAGAGGATATGTATTCACGAGTGATGGAGGAACATACCGGTATAGCCTTGCTTCAAGGCTGTACTGAGTGATAAGTCTATGGATGTATTATAATTCTATCCTTACAATAGGCAAGTCTAGATAAGCGCACAGTTCATCTAAGGACGCCAGTCTCTTATAGAGGCAATTTGCTCTTATTATTAATATTATAATCTAGAAATTATGATTTAAACTAATAAATTTTGCCTTAGAGACTTGTGCAAGCCTAACCGCTGTAGTGCAAACATACGTATGAAGTACTGACAACAAGTTCAAGTATACTATGGAACCATGTTGTGCTGCGAACATCTATCTATAGTAGGGCTGCAACGAATACACTATGAGGCGAATATGATTCATATCATGAATATAGGGTAACGAATATGAATATTAATTCACAAATACAATAACAAGTCAGCAGCTGATGTATTATTTGTTATATTCAGTGAAACAATAACATAAATTATATGACATGGTTTGTTAACTATTAATATATTATACATTTATATACTGCACTTATCCTGATACTAGTATCTGCTCAAATGCGACAATGACCAGTGACCACAATACTGTCAAATTAAATATTATAAGAGTGTTATCTTTGAAGAAATCTATGCATATAATATGTTCTTATGGATATTTTTAGGTACAGGGTATGTGAATGCACATGATTGCATATTCATAAATAATGAATTCAATTCATGAATGATTACGGTTCGATTCACCGACTACGCGAATGAATCGTAACAGCCCTAATCTATAGTGACAGTTAACCATCAACTCCGAGTTACTCTATGACTAAAGTTATGTTATTGTAGAATCACAACCATCAGTCACAGCGAACTACATGAAGACAAATGTCTTGTGAATTATTCGGGCTAATGCTGAAATGTGAGCTATGACAAATCAATTGATACTTTTAACACGACCCAATATTGATTTCAAAGAAAAAGATCCATTTATCAACTCACTTGTTCAATATCGACTAGTTCAGTTTCATAGATCTCTGCAATGGTGATGTGGTGTTTGGCTGCAATCGTAAACCTCCCCTGCAAACAGACAGTGACTGTAGCAGGTCAAAGCATTAAAGATTATTGTAATCACCATAAACATGATAAATGTTACATGAAAATAAATGCAAACTGATCTTTTTTCCATTCATGTATCATAGTGATTATGTGAGATGGGTTTAACACCGCTTTTAACAGTACTCCAGTTATATCATGTCAGCTTGATTTGGGAGGAAAGCCCAAAGTGATGCAGGTCCTACACATTTACCCCACAAGCATGGGTATGGTGCTGACAAACCTAGAAACATAATCATGGTGCACAGGGATTCGAACCAGTAATCATAGATGACTGGGTCACCAATGCCCCCCCCCCCCAAAAAGAATTTAAAAAAAAATTCTATCATTTATTCAAAACATACTCCTCAAAACAAGTCAAATATGTTATGGTGCTGACAAACCTAGAAGAAACATAATCATGGTGGACCGGGATTTGAACCAGTAATCATAGACGACTGGGTCACCAATACCCCCCCCCCCCCCCCCCCCACCCCCCCCCCAAAAATTAAAATTCTCTTTCCATTCTCTCATTTATCCAAAACATACTACTCAAAACAAGTTAAACATGTTAAAGAATGCCCAGTGTTTTTAGGAGAGATTGGGATTGTTTTCAGACAATGAATCAACAAGGTGAATAATCAACTTAATAGATAAGAGTTGATGGATCTACTTCTTTTATTGTTTCAAAGCAATGTATTGGTACAGATGCTAGTACCTTTAGCAAACAGGTTGATGAATGAGCATCTGAACTGAAATACTGCATTGAAACAATAAATATGATAAAACAAGTTGACATCCATCTTCATTGTTACTACAGCTTCTAAAATGCCTTTTAATGACGTAAAAAATTTAACAATTGACTTTTTTTTAAAAATGAGGTGCTTAACCATGTTAACAATGATTAAATAATGTAAAATAGACAATTGTGTTGAACGTGTTGAATAGCTGTCAGAATATCAGATAAAAGATTTGTTTGTTGTTTAATGCCGCACAAAGCAATATTCCAGCTATATATCTTGACCAGACAATCCAGTGATTGACATCATGAGCATCGATCACCCCAATTGGGATACAATGACATTCATCAACCAAGTCATCAAGCCTGACCACCCGATTCCATTAGTCGCCTCTTACGACAAGCACGGGTCTCTAAAGATCAATTCTAACCCAGATCTTCACAGGTGACAACCTTAAGAGAAAAAAAAAGAGTGAACCTAGAATGCGCTAGCATTTATATTTATTCCACCTGAAGGTAAAACATACATGATCAGCACGACCAGTACGTACAGTAGGTGAAACTGTGAAACTATGGGTCAAAGGAAAAAACAATGAGTAAGCTTATACGAACACAGTTCCCATGGCAACATATTCAGATACTGTAGTTTCTTGAAGAACGAAGCAAAAATCAAATGTCCATCAAAACCCATGTTGCTCATGCTACAGCTGCAGCTGACATTGTGATAAAAAAACCTTGTGACAACTTTTTGCCTAGTTACCATGGTTACGTTATTGTGTTGACCTTTGTAGTGATCAAAGAGTGCAATAACAACCCACAACATGTACATCACTACATGGATCAGGGGTTGATTTAACAACAAACTTATATGTAGACTGCAGTTACCATGGTTACTGGCCCTTTTCCAAACTGGCCTACAACAAAATGGCGGAGGCCGCAAAGTGGCTAATCCTGAGGTCACTATACCACCTAGCAGTGTACTGAACATTCTAAAACTCCCCGCCCTGAAACGACTTTTCCTGCACTCTGAGAATAAATCTTGGCTTCCATTTGCTTTATATCGTGGTGATTTATGAGCAAATATAGATATTATTGTACACAACATTACAGAATAGCAGTTGGCTGTCATTCTACCGAGATGATCGACATAAATCTTTCTTAGAGTTAACCTTTCACATGACCTCATCCCACCTAAGATTTTCTCATCGAAGTAACAAATTCAAGAGCAGTGTCCAATTAAAAAAATTAAACATGCATGGAGAAGGGGTGAAATTTTGACTAGCCGGACCGGCCATCTACTTTACGTTTCGGCAAGCCCTTTGTACTTTGCACTGACCACAGGCCAAAGGGCCAACAGTTTAATCGACCCCTGTGAATCAATCACAAGAAGCGTTCATGAAAGGTTAGTGCAAACTAGATGCAGACGATTATCCACATCATGAATATTCAACAGTGAGTAAGCGAAAGCATGTCACATGTTCCATGAATTACAACATATTTATTCCACACAGGATCCCATTACCATAATCACTGTTATCACACAATAAACATACATTCCATCCCACAAAACATCAAATAACTGTCAAGTGTTGCCATGGTAACATTTTCCCGAATGTCTACATGACATTCTACTGGCTTCATCACTCACCATATCTGTGTAGATTGTTACTGCTTGATGTAAACTTTTGATTGCCTCTGAAAGAAATAAATATTTTACAGTTGTCAGATTGTAAGCAAAATCAAGTTGACTATTTCAATGACATGATTAGTGTGAAAAAATGTGTCAGTATACACATGGTATAATTTATGTTAAACTAGAGCAGAAATATAATGCCTCCAGGTTGGACAGTATTTCAGTTATATCCCAATATCATTTAAATCAAATCTTAATTCTCGCTACCAATAAACACAGATCTGAGGACATCTTATTGCGGGTCACGTCAGAATGACCATTTATCCTACCAATCACAGCGTCGCTCACCACTGAATCCATACAATCTAGGCCATCTATTAGCCATTCTGATTGGCCAATGTCGACTTCTTGTCTGTCATTCAATTGGTCGGGGAGGGAAGCCAAAAGGGATGCAGGTGTTAGGTGTTCACCACTTTGGTGAGTGAGTGTGAATGGTTTTACGCCACTTTCAGCAATATTCCTGTAATATCACGACAGGGGACACCAGAAATGGGCATCACACATTGTACCATGGGAAATCAAGCCGAGTTTCAGGGTGACGAGCGAAGGCTTTAACCACTCGGCTAACAAACCGCCCCCACTTTTGCACAGATTATATGGTACTGACAAATCAAGAAACATAATCGGGTGAATATGGGATTCAAACCCATGATCATAGGATCAACTCACTTGGCCACCCGTGCACTAACGGTGACACTTACACTGGTCTGCTGGTCTGAGTCTGGTATATATCCTTAAGTACCAGTAAAATTAAATAAATGCTGGTCCAGTGGTCTTGTGTTATTTGGGAGTAAAAGTTTGTATGTATTTTAAATCAGCAATAGATTGACTCTAAACTCTGAGCACCACCAGTAGCCTAACACCCCTGCATGGTAGTGGTTCACACTCTAATCACACTTGTTGTAAGAACATGATAAGCATCTGAGATTAAAAACCTTTCTTGGTCAGAGACCCAACAAGACCAAAACACTTTTCCATGTGCTGGTCCTTTGGTTGGTTGGTTTGTTTGTTTGTTGTTTAACGCCGCACTCAGCAATATTCCAGCTATATGACGGCGGTCTGTAAATAATCGAGTCTGGACCAGACAATCCAGTGATTAATATCATGAGCATCGATCCACGCAATTGGGATCGATGACATGCATCAACCAAGACAGCGAGTCTGACCACCCGATCCCGTTAGTCGCCTCTTACGACAAGCATAGTCACCTTTTAGGCAAGCATGGGTTGCTGAAGACCTATTCTACCCCGGCGACTTCACGGGCCGCTGGTCCTTAGGACCACTGACAATAATTGGCGCTGGTCCTTTGGACAAACAGTGACCAAGAACCAGAAACATGCTTTATAATGAGGTCATAAGCCTCAATCATAACAATATATACATACATTAAAAGTAACTTTCAGTACACACAGTTGAGGCAAAATGTTGTCTTTTTCATCTGAATATTGAATTTCAGGCAGATAGTACTATGAGGGATGGCTGAAACGTTTTGAGCCACAGCATGATGGACTGTGTTGATTATTTTTCAACATAATCCCCTCTGAGGTCCACATATTTCTGCCAAAGAAGCTGGAGTGTCTGGATCCGTCTGGCGTAGAGAGCTTCCTCCTGGAGGTCTAAAAAGTCCTCCACAGCAGAAATGATGTCATCAGTATTTGTATAATCATGATAATGTTTGCCAGACAGTTCTTTCTTGAAATTTGGGAACAGGTGGAAATCTGATGGTGCTAAATCTGCTGAATACTGAGGATGTTCAATGATACCTAGACTTGCACAAGTCTCTTGACAATAATTATGTTTAAATCAAGTTCTACATTATGTAAATAATAAGAACAAGTTGTCCCTATAAGAGACTGGAGGCCTTAGTACTGTCCACATATCTAGACTTGTATAATAGGAGGATAGAATTACTACACATCCATGGACTTTTCTTTCATTGCAGCCTTGGAGCAAGGCTAAATGACACATTGTCTGCATGGATGACTGTTGGCACTCATCCTTTCAGTTGGAGATACTTGATGACAGGATTCTACCCACTTGTGTCCAAATTCATGAACAGGGAACACCTCATCACCTTGATGCCTGCAGAATTAAGCTGCCTGGTTGTGTCATTGGTTCAAATGCTGCACGTAAGCACAGAAACGTATTTTACTTACTAAATGCCAACAGATATCCTTCAATATTAGACCAGTGAAGATCCGGGGTAGAATAGGTCTTCAGCAACCCATGCTTGCCGTAAAAGGCGACTATGCTTGTCGTAAGAGGCGACTGGCGGGATTGGTTGGTCAGGCTCGCTGACTTGGTTGATGCATGTCATCGATCCCAATTGCGTGGATCGATGTTCAGGATATCAATCACTGGATTGTCTGGTCCAGACTAGATTATTTACAGTCCGCCGTCATATAGCTGGAATATTGCTGAGTGCGGCGTTAAACAACAAACCAACCAACCAACCTTCAATATTAGGCTCAGAACTTTTCAGCCACCCCAGCATGCAGGTCATTTAGTGTACTGTAATATACATCCACAGTGTTTTCATTAGGGGTGAAACAACACAGCAAGGTCAAGATACGATACATATCACGATATATAGGTCACGATACAATATGTATCGCTTTACCCATACTTCCGTCAAATCACATGGAAACTTATTGACAAGAAATATTTCTGAGCAGGTTCAATAGGTAAAGCTAGCTGTAGACACATGTTCGTATCGGCTATTTTTAGTAGTGAATGTGAAACCCTAAATACAACACATTTCACAATATTTAACTGACCATAAGGATGGGTGTCATTATACCAGTAGTAAGTAAATTCATTTAGCAAGTGTATCGTCTTGTATCGATACAGAAAATTATGTATCATGTATTGTATCGTGACATCAAAACCCACAATGCACCGGTGTACCAATGTATCGTTTCAGCCCTAGTGTTGACTGTATGTATTCGGTGTGTATTCTCACCATTAGGATCCCCTTTCCTGTAACAGTTTCCTGCATCTACATAATGTGTGGCAGCTTCATGTTTGCTGCCGAGTTCTATCTGTAGTTGGCCTGCTCGGCAAAATGATTCACCAGCAGCTGAAACAAACATAAGACATCTTTTTTTACTGAGGGAATCTTGGCAAAGTGCCCCTGTACCTGCTGTACACGGAGCAAAATATCCTGGACACCAGTTATCAGAATCAGTTATGCTGGTCTGGACTGAATCTGTGAAACGCCATGGATCATGTGTGACGCCCTGTCAAGTGAGTGAGTGAGTATGGTTTCATGCCGCATTTAGCAATATTCCAGCAATATCACGGCAGGGGACACCACAAATGGGCTTCACACATTGTACCCATGTCGGGAATCGAACCCGGGTCTTCGGCGTGACGAGCGAATGCTTTAACCACTAGGCTACCTGACCGCCCCATGCCCTGTCAAGAGAGGAGTGAGCAATAAGTCTACTTCAGTTCAACCTTAGATATTACTTATTTGGATCACAAACCTTCCTGCTCCAATTCTTTAAGAAAGTGTCAATGAGATGGCAACATATTTTTCTTAGCTGTATGCCAAACAAATAAATCTGAAACTAATAGTATTCCATTCTAATGGGAACCTGGTCTAAAGTTCTTGCAAGCGTTGATTACCATATTCACTGTATAAAATGCCCTGCACCAACACATGACAGTCTGTATTTTGTTGTGTATATTACACATTTCTTTTTACAGAAAACAGCAACGCAGAAGGGGCATATTGGTATCTGCCTAGTAACTATTATCGAAATTGTTTCACCAAAGTTGAACTAAGTTTGTTCAGTGTTAATTTAAGTCCTGGCTTCCAGTTGTCCATCACTATCACCTATCAGCGCCAATTAACTGTTAAATTCCCTTCCCTTGTTAAGTTTCCACCTTTGTTTATAAATTGTTATCGTATTGCATTTGTTGTTCTTCCAGGTACATACATACTGATGAAGGATTACTGTAAGTATATATACTCAGAAACGTTGTGTTCCTCATGATAAACATGATAAAGAATTGACATCCATAAATTCTCTTCCTCATGTGCATCACTTCTAAATGTCATTCAACCACTTAAGTGTGCTAACTACCTCTTGATCTCTGAAACTAAATTTTACTTGCTCTGTATGGTCATAACAAGCACCCCATTTGTCAACATAATGCAACTGGGACAAAGTCCAGCATAACAGTCGCATAAACTGTCAACTATCATTTCCTGACAAGATACAGTGTAGATTCCGTCTACTGCAATCCCATGATAATCAATGTCTGGCATGTATACTGTAAATGACACACTTATGAAAGATGCAATATAAACATGATACATGAAGGATCATAGAAAAAGATGAGACCATTGAAGCTTCAAACAGGGATATCGGAAACACTTAGTGTTGTAACGAGTTAGCAGTAGCACTGTAACCACGGCTGCAACCTATCATGGGAATCTGTCGTAATTAATTGGTATTTAGTATAACTATTAAATCGTGTTTGACATGTTTGAATCATGCCCAGTGTACCTGCAGCCCTGACGACTGTTTTTTATTTCATACGACATTCTACATCGATTATACCTTTCAACAATCTTCTTAACTTTCCAGAATGATCGACTGATTGATTATTTCTTCAGCAACACTATTAATCATGAGTATATGTTCTGAAACATCATGAGGAATCAACCAAGATTACCTGCCCACTTCTTGGCCATCTTGAAGGAATTTGCTGCACGCACATACAGTTCTGCTGCTTCTTCTATCTTGCTTGAGCCACTAACAAACAGAGAATGAACAAATGACCACCTCGTCATGACACTGAAACTGATGTCAAGCCAACAATGACCTCTATGATCAAGCCAACATCGTTAAACAAGATAATAATTAACTACTTTACACAATAAACATGATCAAGTCATCAATCTTATTATGCCTATTACTCACCATTGAATATATACTACTCAATAGAAGTTACAGAACACTGGATATTTTCAAAACATTGGGTGTTCATTAACTTCTACTAAGTAGTACATAATATGTACAGAAACATTTCCTAATGTTATCATCACCAAAGGGAAAGGGAAATTATGCCATGTATTCAAACATGGGGAATGAACATGATGAAACAGACTTCAATTAAGTCATAAATATCAGAGTAACCCCAAACTCAATCCAGACGAAATTGAAAGAAGTTGTCAATCCAGACACTTCTAAAGACAAAAGTTTGTCCTGAAGTCCTGATTAAAACTAGGTTGGAAAGACCACTGCCAGTCCCACCAACCCCACTAAAACATGAGACCTGTGAAGAATCCGGGGTAGAATAGGCCTTCAGCAACCCATACTTGCCTAAAAGGCGACTTACAGGCTCGCTGACTTGGTTGATACATGTCATCGATCCCAATTGCGTGGATCGATGCTCATGATGTCAATCACTGGATTGTCTGGTCCAGACGCGATTATTTTACAGACCGCCATCATATAGCTGGAATATTGCTTTTTCAATGCAGGGAAATATCATAAAATGAGACACTTTGCATATGTATTTATTTTTATAGCATTTAATTGAAGTTTGGTGTATATAGTATGACTCTATATTATCACAGGTTCTATATATATATATCCACACCCCTTGTTGCCTGTTTACTTATGCAAATCTAAGCTCGATATTTCATTGCTTGATCGAATACAGGACTTGATGTGGTATGTCACGGCTACTCATAAGTATACATGTTAACTTTCCTTTGACAGTCTCTGGAATGTTTTTGGAGTGGAATTACCCCTACCTCCATTCGAAATTTAATAGAAAAGAACCAATTTGTTTGGACATTCATAACACATTTTGGACGGTCTTCTCCTTTCTCGTTTATCCCTTTTTCCTGTCTCACTTTCATCTCCATCTTATGCTCACCAGTGCCATAGCTACATTTGATTTCCTTCAGGCTTAGACAAGATCAGTCAGTAGCAACCTAGATTTGACATATCCCATGGTATCATTTGGGTACTTGGGTTTTTTTTATCTAGCATCACATAATTATCATATTGTGATAAACAAATATGTGACAGTTCTGTTAACAAACACACACTGAAGAAGACATACATATCAGGAAAAAACGTGATTGAGTGACAGATGAAGATGTGACGAGGTTCATCGCCTTACCCAAACAAATTTCCCAAGAAACCTTTCGCCCCTTTCTGTTTCTTCTCCGCCTCCTGCATCAACATAATTCCTTTCTGTTCTGCGTCACCCATCTTGTCTGCTCAACTGTGTCAATGTTACCCCTATATTTATCTTAATATATCACAGATTTAATAATAATCTTTTAGAGGCATAAATACATCGCGAAATTCACGTCACTTCCTTTACTCCCACCACACAGCGCCGTCTATGAAAATGGGAGATAACTCTCTATTTCCGCTTCCGTTGAAGCATAATAAAATCTCCGAATTCCCTCACGATGGCGTGTCAATCATATAAAGACAGCACCACCATTTGCAAACAACAGTATATCTTGTCATGAACAATAAATTGTATCAGAGACGAATTATTTTTTAGGTGTCACTTTATCCACCCTGATTTAGCATGGAACACAACAGTTCAAAACAACGAGCACCTGTGTATCTCGTTATTGTGTTCGAAGTTTTCTTCTTTTACGGGCGCATTCGACAGAAGAAAAAGATTTAAGATGGGGCATATTCCAGCATTATCACGACAGGGTATTATACCATGACACTGATATAGGGTTTTATACCATACATCTGGAAAGTGCGATTCTGTTGGTCAATCAGAGATTTCAAATTACAACACCTCTGATTGAAGCAGCTGAAAATGACGGCCGCATCTTCGCGGAAAGTTATTTTGATAGAAATGTATTTCTCTCTCAATCATTGTCGTTAGGCATTCAGAAGATAAACATACTATGTTTTCAATATAGAGCTAGGTAGCCGAGGTTTTAAACGCGCAAAATTGCATTTGGAACTGAATGTGATGCATGAATTAAGTCCTTGTTATCAATGGAATTTTACCTGATTCAGTAATATAACTAAAATATATCATATAATGATATTATTAGATCGTCGAGTTAGTAATATTACTAAACAGATTAGTAATGTGATCGTATAATCGTAATCAATAGCGATTAGTCAACTTTTGTACTTCATTTAGTAAGTCGTATGCCGTCAGACAGTTATAGCGCGTATAACCAATTCTGTTAACCTCTTTAGTCGTAAACCTGATTTCGTTATGAGCAATATAAAAATGGGATATGGGAGAAACGTGATCTATATAAACTGCCTGGGAAAAAAGAAATTAAACACATGAAAATTTGATTTGACCAAAGAATTATAATCGTTATCAAAACGTTACTAAGCTGAGTGAGTGAGTTGGAATTTACTCCGCTTTTAGCAATATTCCAGCAATATCACGGCGGGCAATATCACACAAGAAATTGGCTTCACACATTGTACCCATGTGGGGAATCGAACCTGGGCCTTTAGCGTGCCGAGCGAGCGCTTTAACCACAAGTCTACCCCACCGCCCTACTAAGCTGAAACCAGTCAAACATAAGGCCCAAACCACAACTACATGTGTGATACTCGTATCAAATACACTGCCATCGAATAACCAATTCTTGTTTGTTGTATTTTTAGTTACCGTCGAACATGGGTGTATACCTTCTTCCCCCCCCCCCCCCCCCCCCCCCCCCCCCCCCCCCTCTGTTTATATATCTACATAAGTTAGTTGTGAGGTGAGGTGAAATAGGGTTTAATGTCGCGTCCTAGATTATTGCACTTGTACTAGTCCGGACTGATGCCTATTTTATGTACATTTGTTCATGAGTCAGAAGATTTCTATATTAACATCACCGATATCTTTAACTGAGATTAAATTCGTATCTCTCGGCAAACAACAGCGCGATGGTAAATTTATAATTTAAAATAATTAGTTCGATATATCAAAAGCATATATGGGCTCGATAATAGCATTGGGGCCTCTAAGAGGTCGCCTTCTGCCTGTCCCACTTTGTGTGTGGTAAGGTACATAATCTGTTGGTATTTTTAGTATCAATGAGATTTCTATTTTTGTATCGATAAGATTTGAATTTTCGTATTAATAAACATTGTTCTTTTAGAAATTGGTTGAACTTCTTTGGCTGCTCTATTTAAATACGTTCGAGTAGCTGACCATCTTTAAGAAATAGAGTTAGTTAGCCCTTCACTATTGCATCTCTTAGCTTTAGGATATCTACGATATATCGTGGATGTAACAGCAATTTTTCTTTTCAGAGTGGCAAGGGGAATCTTCCACCTTTACAACATTGTTACTTTAAAATCTTTTTAATTTAAAACACTTACTTCTAATTGGTTAAATCACCTCATTTAACTGGCCACACCCGTGACGTGTTGTGTTATCACCGCAGGTACTCAGTAGGCCCGCGGAGCTCGTCATTTCTATTGCGTGAGAACTTGCGCTTAACACAGATTTGTCGTTTTATACTTTCAGTTCCTTCATCTTACTGGATTTGAATTTGTATTATCACTGTTAAAACGGATCCCGTACGTGAGCGTATCGGCTGTCCATGCATTAATGCATCCATATTTGTTGGGCTTAATAATCGGCGCTGACCACGACGCCCCCCCCCCCCCCCCCCCCTCACTTTTTGCTTGTTTCGTCGACTTTGTAGACTTTGTTAACATTTTAGTTTCGACCTTCGAGTCTCTATGGTGGTCAAAGAGTTTTTGCAGTGTTGCGTTAACACCTCGCTCTGTACTTTTTATCTCCCAGAAGTTTTTAAAACTTTCTTCCCGACTTAATCTAGAACATGCGGGGTAACCTTATGATTAATGAGACTGATTCTATAAGCTTGTCCAGTATATATGCATGTTAATCTTGTGGAAGCATGTGAGATATTGTATCTATAGGCATGCATGAACAGATGCAACTCCTTATGAGGCGCCGTTTTACTATTTATTTCTGATTTTATACATCCATAATGCATTTATTGATATGACAAAATTAATTAGTGATATCATAAATTTGAATTAATGATATCCTAAAATAATTAGTGATATCACAAATTCGACTTTTCGATACCATACAATTAAGACGTAATTAAGACGGTTGTTTTCACCCGTATATTCAAGACCAATCAAGCCACGTGAAAAAGCGTCATCGGGTTCACACCCGTTTGTCCGGGTATCCTAGCGACCGAGGGTGGATGTACCCGTAACTTCACCCCATGGTACACCATAACAAAATTTGCAAATTCAAAATGGCGCCGGTGAGTGTCAGCTCGCTAACGTGCTTCGTCATACCCTTGATGAGATAAGCAGTTCTGTCGTACCCACCCTGTCTCAGACACCGCTGTTTGATCACTGGCCTGGCTAACGGCTCGGGTTCGGTGTAAGCTCTTACGGTGGATTTACTCAAGGCATCTCAACACCGTCTCCTGCCAGATCAGTTGTCGGCCATGTCATGGGGGAAAGCTTTTTTTGGCAGGCGGGACAGCATTAGCATACAGACATTAACGACATCACAGCTTCAGCACAAGAGTAATTCAAACTGACCCTCCGATCCCGCATTGTGAACAAATAGGTTGTGTCCCATCCAAGAAATATGATATTCACTGAACAAAAGATGCATTCAAGTACTAAATGAACAGAACGAGAGACGTGAACTGGTGACTCGAATGGTCCATCGGCTATGAATATTGTAATCTGCAGTTGTCGTCTTTAAAGATTAACGCTGAACACAGTGGTAACTTATCCCCATAACGTATTGAGCAGAGATAAGATTTGCATTGTGGTTGCAAAGTTTATCTATATAAATCTCCTTATAGCATACATTGTCATTTTCGTGTAGTTTGAAGCGGGAAAAGCATTGTACTCGACGCGCCCGGAACAGTGCATTTTGTAATTGGAGATGGACATCTTGCATCAGGATCACGTAGACGATGTATCTTTTCATACAGCCACACCTGGTAACAGCTGGTCCTACAGAAACACAATATAGCTCCATGCTGTCGGTATAGCCCAACACGTTTCTTAACACAATAGTATACGACTTCGTGGGTCATTCCCACTTGAGGATTCCTAGGCCGACTGGCTGACCAGTAACACCATCTTCCTGAAGCAAGGACGTTAAGTAACTGCAAGAGTCCAGTTTCCACCATGGCGAACTAGACTGGAATTCCAGAGTTACAGTTTGGCTGGACTAACGAGTCTATGCATAGTCAAATCAAAATCGCTTAACGAACTCGACATCCGATTCGTAAACAACATTGATTTGAAAGTGCAGATTTCGGTCGACTGCAGGATTTTAAAAGCATGTGTGCAGATATTTTGCAAATCTTTTCATGTTTTTAATCAAGGTACTCACTTGATATGATGCACGTCACGGGGTAAGACCCGTTTTATTACATTATAGATCTTGATTATGGATCACATCGTCGTTTGAAACAAATGCAAGTGATATGAGAGATGGAATCTGATTGGTCAATAGGAGGTAAATAGGAGGGACATAATAGCGACACAACACGTAATGGCCACTGGTGGCGCTACGATCGGCAAGGGTGGAAACTGGACTTTTACAGTCAGTTAACCCCCATGCCTCGGGAAGATGCAGTAACACATGTTCATGGTCCTCCATAGACGACAACACAAAGTACCCTTGTGAAAAATCAACATCGGGTGTTCAGTATGACGAGAGAACACTTTGAACACAAGGGTATCCGAATGTCGAAATGAACGTGTTGAACATAAGAGATTTGTGGTGAAATGTCTAAGAAATATGCCTGATACCAAAAGGGAAATGCCTATCAAATATGGATCGGGTGTTACAAAGCCTGACCTGGCAGCGTTGATATGTGTTCCTCCACAGGCTCACGTGACTGGAGACCCATCAAGATCCGGGGTAGAATAGGTCTTTAGTAACCCATGCTTGTCGTGAAAGGAGCCTAAGCTTGTCGTAAGAGGCGACTAAGGGGATCGGGTGGTCAGGCTCGCTGACTTGATTGATGCATGTCATCGTATCCCAATTGCGTGGATCGATGCTCATGATGTCAATCACTGGATTGTCTGGTCAAGACTCGATTATTTACAGACCACCGTCATATAGCTGGATTATTGCTTAGTGTGACGTGAAACAACAAAGAAAGAAAGAAAGAAACGTAACTAAAATTTTGTAATAACAAACTCGATGCTGAACTCGCACACGAGGCCGAAGTTTGTGAGCTCGACATCGAGTTTAGTTACGTGGCCCTGTGGTACATCCTGTCAATCACTGGATTGTCTAATCCAGGTTATATTATGTCCAGGTAGTCTTGATATAGTGATGTGAAGTTAAATAGGGCTTAACTTCGCGTTCAGGATTATTGCATT